AAGAATAATTGTTTATATAGATAATAATTCTGGATAGTGGTAGGGAAGAGCCTGGACAAGGTACAATGATGTGTGTATAAAAAGGTTATAAAAAGTGATGTGGCAAAACTTGCAGATGAAACATAATTATTTAATTTCTTCAAGAGCAGAGAAGACTGTGAAGAACTTCAGAGGAACCAGACAAGGTAGTTGGATTAGCAGCATAGTGGTAAATTAAATTCATGGCTGACAAATGCAAAGTAATATATTTTAGAGGGAATAATTTGAACTAATAATTTGCATCATAGGGTGCCAAATTAACTGTGCCTGAATCGAAGACAGCTAGCTAAGTTAAAAACTTTTGGTTTCAGCAGTTCAGCTGGCCAGTAAGTCCTTAATGCAGTGGTGGGCAACATGCAGCTCAAGAGCCACATGTGACCTACTGGGGTCCTATATGTAGCCCCTGAGGCGTTTTGTTTACTATTGCCTACTAGGGATGTAAGCAAGTGGTCGAGTAGTTGAGTAACACAATAAGCCTAGGCTTATCGCTTAGTTGAGTCGACTGCTTGGGTCCTTGCATTCCCCCGCCCTTGCTGCCTCTGTATCATGCAGGGGGAGGGAGAATTGCACAGGAGCTAGTGCTAGGGGGAGCCAGCTCCCCAAGCACTGTCTCTGCGATGCCTTCTCCCCCCGCCCATGCTGCTCTCTCTATCAGAGGAGGGCCCCAGGCTTGCTGTGGACAGAGGCTGCTCCAGCAGCAGCCCCTATCCATGGCAGCCCAGGGGCCGCTGGACATGGCGTAAGCCAGGACTGAGCAAGCCAGCTCAGTCCTTGCTTGTGCCGGGTCCAGAAGTTATCCCTGCTGCAACTCTGCAGTTTAAATGTAGTAGGAGCTGGTCTGCCTGCCTGCCCAGCTCTTACTACATTTAAACTACAGAGCCACAGCGGGGGTAGCTACTGGACCTAGCAAGAGCTGGAACTGAGTGCCTTCCCTTATTGACTAATTATGTAGTGGATATCGACCACACGCTTAGTGAAATACCTACTTCTTAACATCCCTATTGCTCACATGCAGGGTGGCCAGATTCCATCCACATAGATTTTTATTTCCCTACTGGTTTTGCTAAAGTGACATGCATATAAAGCACGGACATGTGAAGTGAGGTGCATGCTGATTGCACACAACATTGACTGTGAGAGCTATATGCTCCCTCTGCATCTAATCAAAGCACTGCTATGGTTCAATTGGCACACCTAACAAATTCTTGGTATGCAGGCAGTTAGCAAAACTACCCTATCCTGGGAAACCATCTTGGTTATGACAATCTTGTAGCCCACTGAGATGGAGGGCCACTCATGCGGCCCGCTCACTAGCCTAGATTGCGGATCGCTGCCTTAAGGTGCTCATATGTCTACTGAAGTATAAAAAAGAAGTACCTGGCACCGTAAAAATTACTGCTACAGACCATGTGAACAGGGACATTCCTGGTTTTCAGGACACCATTATAAAAATGGAGGCTTGTCTACATGGAGAAGCTATGTTCTGTAAGTTAAAGCATGAATTTAAAGCTCACTGGCTACTACACCCTAGCTCCTAGTATGGACACCCTCTTACTGAACATCAAGAGTGCCTTCAGATGACTTAGCTGGATGAACTCTCCTAGGCTGTGTCTAGACTGCATCCCTTTTCCGTAAAAGGGATGCAAATTAGACACATCGCAATTGCAAATGAAGCGGGGATTTAAATCCCCCCGCTTCATTTGCATAAACATGGCTGCCGCTTTTTTCCGGCTCGGAGCTTTGCCGGAAAAAAGCGTCAGTCTAGACGCGGATCTTTCAGAAAATAAACCCTTTTCCAAAAGATCCCTTATTCCCTTTGATAATCAAATAAAAGGGTTTATTTTCTGAAAGATCCGCCTCCCTTATCAACTTTTTGTATTTCGTAACTTCTAATATTGGTTGCTATGTTCTTCCATTTTTTTCTATGTTATATACTTTCTCCCCCTTTCTCTGATTTATTGCTTTCACTTCCATACTGAGCCAGCATGGGAATCCTTCTACCCAATATTGTTCTGTGTTATACTTAAAGAGAAGCTAGATAATTTCATGGAGGTTAGGTCCATAAAAGGCTATTAGCCAGGGGATAAAATGGTGTCCCTGACCTCTGTCGGAGGCTGGAGAGGGATGGCAGGAGACAAATCACTTGAACATTGTCTTCGGTCCACCCTCTCTGGGGCACCTGGTGCTGGCCTCTGTTGGCAGACAGGATACTGGGCTAGATGGACCTTTGGTCTGACCCAGTACGGCCGTTCTTATGTTCTTATGTTGTGTATTTTTGGACAATTAATAAACTCTTAAAAATCAGGTTTTTTTCCTTCTATTTAATTTTGGTCATATTCTTCTTGGGAAATTAGCTCTCCTATTGCCCCACATGTATATTATTCATATGGACTGGTCGTAAACATGTAGCAACATAATGTGAAGATCAAACACTGCCATCAGTTTACATGCACAAATCCTATTTAAATTAAAGGGCAACAGAATTTAGCCATGACATTAAAGCAAACCATATATGTGCATCATGTCAACTGTCCTTTAACAATAAAGATTAGAAAAATATCTTTTTCTCCCTTTATGCAACAGATTCTGATCTTGTTTAGACTGGAGCAGATATTGAATGACTCCGTTGTGGTTTAACACTTTTTATACTGACATAAAAGAGATCAGGATATTGACCATGGAATTACCCTCAATGACTATTTTAATTCCAATTATTATACATAATAAAGAATCAAAGTTCTAAAATATTGACTACAGCAGATTCAGGATTTTACCCATTCCCTTTTTTGTACTGCTCTTTGTGCTTCACTTACCTATTTTAAGATATATTTCCTCAGAAGTTCTATGTTTTCATTAGTTTCACAATAACACTTCTTTATATTTGTGTCAATAGTTAACCTATTTATTTATTTGTGTGGTTAAATCTGTGTGTTGTTCATGTCTATTTTGTTTTGAAACAAAATGTTTGTTTTCTAGTGTATGTATACACATGCCTCAGAATATGTGCACATATATACATACATATTTTTCTAATTTAATAGTATAGCACAAACTTACTTGTTGTTGCAGACCCATATCAGAAAACAGAAATTCAATAGAGAACTGTCCTTTCCGGCTTTCTTTTCTTAGAAACATACTGACTGCCATAACAGGTCACAGTGGTGGGCCGTCCAATCCAGTGTGCTGTCTCTGGCAGGGGCTAGTAGTAGATGCTTCAGACGAAGGAGACAGCAACCCCGTTACTGGGATAATTTGCGAATAGAGGAAAAACTCGATGATAGCAGGCAGGAAAACAAGTAAATTAATTAAAATAACAGGGGCCAAAGGGTGATTTTAAAGTCTATAATCCTAAACTTTAATTTTCTCTCAGACTTTGCTCCAGTAGAGTTGTTTGTCAATTGCAAATCCTCTAAAACAGGGCTACTCAATAGGCAGCCCGTGGTGTGGTATGGGTTTATATGGGGCTCAACTTGTGGCTCATGAGTGGTAGCCAAAATAAAAAAGTAGTCAATATAATGGTCTTCTGTTGATATGTGTTTTAGTAGTTAAATTCCTGGACTGTCATTGCTCATTAAAAGTGCTGTCATATGGGTGGAAATTGGGTAAATATTGCAATTTATTAATATCTGTAGAGCCAGGGGTAGATATAGGGCAGGGCGAGTGGGCTGGCTGCCCAGGGTCCCACGCTTCAAGAAGCCCTGCACATGTACCGTGGTGCTACTGCGCATGTGTGTGGCACCACTGCGCATGCGCCGTGTCAAAGGGGGGCCCCGCAAAATTGTGCTACCCTAGGCCCTGCAAAATCGTCATCTGCCCCTACGTAGAGCTGACTTCAATGGGGCCTGTGTGTTGTGCAGTCTTGCCTTAATCTTTGTATTCATGCCCGCCAGTGTGAAAGAAGCTATGTGCATGTACATGCATCCACACTTAAGTTGCGGCCCTCAGCATGTGCTGCGAGTATCATCGTGACCCCCGGGGGCTTCCAACGTTGAGGAGCCCTGCCTTGAAACATTTCAACGGAAGGTGCAGTAACCTTTGGACATCTTAGTCTGTTGACCTCCCAGGGGTCAGTGGGTCACAGGCTGAAAGCCACCGCTCTAGGGTAAGAACAGCCTTTCCCAGACCGTGGCTTAGACCTTTGCTTTTGCCTTCTCCCCCCC